TTCCTCTCTACCAAACCCTAACCCTAAACCCCTAATTTTCCCGCCAATGTATCATCAATCCATGAATCTATCCGTTTCTTTCAATTTCACCCACCGATCTCCTCTATTCTCCACCGGAATCCGTAAATCCGTCAATCTCAAACCTCCACGCGTCTCCTCCGGCCCAGAATCCGGCGATTCAGTTACCAAAACCCTAACCGAGAATCTAATCTCGCTCCTCAGAGCTGTCCCCGATTGGGCCGACGAGATTAAAGAGCGTGGGATGCAGCAGAAACGCACTCTCTATACACACGAGAAATGGGTCGAACACAGAAGCTCTCTTCGCCATGTGAGGCATTTGTTATCGAGCTTTTCTTCGCGGGTTATACTCTCTCTGATTCCTCCTGTTTTCTTCTTCACATCCGTCGCGGTCGTAATCGCCGTTTATAATTCCGCCGTGGCTTTGGATTGGCTTCCTGGTGTTTTTCCGATTCTCAGATCTTCCTCGTTGCCGTATCAGCTCACGGCTCCGGCTTTAGCGCTACTTCTTGTGTTTCGTACGGAGGCTTCGTATTCTAGGTATGAAGAAGGAAGGAAAGCTTGGGTTGGGATTATTTCTGGAACTGATGATTTAGCTAGGCAAGTGATATGTTCTGTTGATAGCTCTTCTGGTGATGAATTGATTATCAAAGATTTGCTTTTGAGGTATATTGCTGCTTTCCCTGTAGCTCTTAAGGTAAGTTAAAGATCTCTGCTTTGGATAGTGATTTTGTTAAAGTTGTTGGCTTTGAGTAGACAAAATTGATTTGGAGGTTTCTTGGTTTTTGCAGTGTCATGTGATTTATGGTTCAGATATTGCTAGAGATCTAAGGAATTTGATTGAAGCAGATGACTTATCTTTGATTCTTCAATCAAAGCATCGTCCGCGTTGCGTAATCGAGTTTATATCTCAGAGTCTTCAGCTGCTGAAAATAGATGCTGCAAAGAGAGATTTGTTGGTAGCTTTCTTGAATCCTTGAAACTGTATTATCCATTGCCTTACAGTGTTGTGCAATGTCCATGGTTTGATCGTTATTATTTTATTTTGAACATTTGATACCAATATATGTTACTTGCCTCGTTGCAGGAATCAAAGATGCTACATTTACACGAAGGAATTGGAGTATGCGAACAACTAATGGGCATTCCGATTCCTCTCTCTTACACGCGCTTAACCTCGAGGTTTTTAGTCTTTTGGCATCTAACACTCCCAATCATTCTCTGGGATGAATGTCATTGGATTGTTGTTCCTGCTACTTTTATCAGTGCGGCATCCCTGTTTTGCATAGAAGAAGTACATATTCCTCCTCCACGCTCACACTACCGGTTTATATTTTATCCCCTTCTGCTTGAATCTTTAACCATCAAACATTCTTTTTTGGTTTGAAACTCTGCAGGTGGGTGTTCTTATAGAAGAGCCATTCCCTATGTTAGCCTTAGACGAGCTATGCGATCTTGTGCATAGTAACATACAAGAAGCTGTTAAATCCGAGAAAGTCATACGTAACCGGATCATCGCAAAGATAAAGGTCCATGAATTCAAGCACTCATCAAATGGTCGGCATAGAACATAGATCTTGATTTCCCGTTGTCGCCGCGAGTGATGACAATCTGATGCAATTTGTCTTCCTTGAGAGGGGTTTGGAGTATGTGATGGCTTAGGTTAGCTTTGATATTTACGTATTGTATAGATACAACTTATACCAGTTGATAGGGAAACTTTTACATTAACGTTTGTATATGTTTATGCTGTATATATGCAGATATAATAACCTTTACATAAATCATTGTTTGGGTCAAGAAAAGCAGTTATATCATCTTTGCATGATTTAGAATCCATTTACAATCACTTAAACCAAATTCTTTGGCCCTATTGTAATGTGGTTTTGCACATATGGATAATGAGTAACACGGAGTTGAAAGACAATTTGCAAAGTCAATTATTGCTCACGAAAAGAAGAATTTAAAAAATCACCATTGGCTCAGAAGTGTATGAACCACTAAGAAAACATGAACCATCACATGAAACAAAGAAAAACAAAAATCCAATAACATATAAGGACTGTGTTAAGAGCTATCCCATGATCCTAAGCTTCAAATCCTCTACATGGTCGAGAAAGGTGTAAGCTTTACAAGTCTTAAAGGCTTCCATTCCTTGGATTTCAACTCTAGTGACAGTGTTCCTCACGGGATTGTAGTAGCCAAGGTAGAAAGACTCGGTTATATTGTCCGGGGACAACACAATTTCACCTGTTTCAGTCGTTCCAACCAAATATAACTTGCTCGCTGCAAGTATTTTCTTCCAAGCTGGAGGTAAAATGTAGATATAACTCGACCATTCATGTTCCTCGGCGTCTTCCAAAACCCACAGTTGAATACCGTTATATGCATTTCTGTCAATGTTAAGCTGAAGCATAGCTAATCTACCCTTGTAGTTTATCAGAGTCGATTCAATAAACGGACTGAAGTTCTTTCGCATGCCATCATCGTGTTTAATACGTTTGAATATCTCAACTCTAACATCAAAGCAAACTATATCAGGATACCCACCACCCCTCCAAACGTATGCTAAATAGTACAAAACACCATTGATGCAAAAATCCCATCATATTCAAAACGTCTAGATCTATTATTCACAACAAAAAGGCTCGTGTATTATGTCACAATTGATCATTCTCCAAGACGGCTTCTTCTCTTCAGTTTCTAATGTCAGAACTTGATGCTCTCCAAACCCAGGGACTCCATTATTTGATTGTGTCATGCACAAGACTTTGAACTGTTTGTCTATTGGACCGTACCCGAAAAAGCTGAAGACTCCTTTCTTCTTTGTGTTCACTTTAGGTAAGGTTAAGTATTGTCCTGTGCTAGGGTTACATATCAATGGCACAGTGACTTTTCTTCTCTTTAAAGTTTGTTGATTTAAACCACATACCAAACCACGAACAGGACGAGCAACTTCACAGGGGTAATTAATGGGGAAACTCATATGAAAATCGACTGTTAAAGTAGACGAATTTGTAGGGTTTGGTAATGATGTGAAGAAGAACGTTTTACCGTCTTTGAGGCATGTGAATAACAGCTTCGGGCGAGAAGAAGATATGCTGAAGAACGATTCGTTGAAATTTGGATTGCGAATTGTGGAATCACATAGCTTCGATACGCAACGAAACCTCGTTATAGACTTGGCAGGTAATCTTGGGAGTATCTCCATTACTAGATCAAATGGGAGCGATACTAGGTTTTCTTCTTGATCTCCATTACTTGAGCTCGAAGAAAGTCGTTTAGTGCGTTGTGTAGTCATGGTGGATACGTTTTCCTCTTAGGCTTAAACCCTAAAAGAGTCTTTATTACGGAGCTCTCAAGATCAATAGGGATTTCCGTATCAAAAGAATACTATAGGGGTCTTTGTGAATGATATTAATAGTATGAAGGTCTGAATGCGAATAATAAAATGAAGCTAGCATAGTATGACAATACAAACGACGTTCGTTGTGTAAAGAAAATTTCGGTTTTGGTTTAAATTAAGTGAGGAATGAGACATCAAAGCCGGTTTAGAATGGGTCGGTATCGGTTTGAGTGGCTGTTGATGGCGTCTCTCTGTTCTACCAATAGAATAAGAGGATTCAGCTCAAGAGAGTGCTGTTACAAGTTCTTGTGTATTTTGTGACTAAGATCTAGTGGATTACCAAAGCGTTTGAGTCATTGTTTGTGTTTGAGTCATTTAAAACGTTATTTTCCATACATTTTTGGGTCAAGAAACGCAGTTATAGTTTGCATCATTTATAATTCATCTACAATCTCGAAACCTAAATTCTTTAGCCATATTGTACATTTGGGTATTACCAATGGATCATGACTAACAAAGAACTCACCAAAGACACAATTCACAAAGTCGTTTGCTCGTGAAAATAAGAGTTTTAAAAACTTCGCTTAAAACAACGACCATAAGTGTATATAAACCATTCAGAAAAGATGAACACCATCACATGAAACCAAGAAAAACAGTAATCCAATCTGATAAAATAAATATGTCAAGAGGCCATGATCCTAAACACTTGTCATAGGCTTCACATTCTCTACATGGTCTAGAAATGTGTAAGCTTTACAAGTCTTAAAAGCTTCCATTCCTTTGATTTCAACTTTTCTGAAAGTTTCCCGCTCGGGATTGTAGTAGACAAGGTAGAAAGCGTCGGATATACCATCTGGGGACAACACAATTTCACCTATATTAGTCGTTCCAACAAAACATAACCAAGTCCTTTGAAATATAATCTTCCACAAAGGAGGCCAAACATAGATATAACTCGACCATTCATGTTTCTCAGCGTCTTCTAGAACCCACAGTTGAATACCAATATACATCCCAGTACTACCAATGTTCGGCAGAAGCATAGCTAACTTACCCTTGTGGTTTACTAGAGTTGGTTCAAAATTTCTACCATGGTACATGCCTTGAGCTTTCTTTATACAACTGAACTTCTCATACCTAATATCAAAGCAAACTATATCAGGAAACTTGTCACCACCGTGGATCCGTGCTAAGTAATAGCAAACACCATTGATGCATATCCCATCATATACATCACGTCCATATACTCTAGGAGAATGTGGTATGTCACACTTAATCATTCTCCATGACAGTTTCTTTCTTGTTCCTAACGTCAGAACTTGATGCTATCAGATAAATAGGTCGGTCTACGACATTTGGTGGTCATGCACAATACTTTGAATTGTTTTTCTATCGGATCATACCCTAAATAGTTGATCACTCTCTTCCTCCTTGTTTTCACTCTAGGTAAGGGTAAGTGATGTCCTGTGCTAGGGTTACATATCCATGGCACAGTAACTACTCTTCTTCCTTTTAAAGTCTGTTGAGTTAAACCACATACCAAGCCACGAACAGGACGACAAACTCCGGAAGGACAATCAATTGGGAAACTCATATGGTAATTGACGGCTAAAGGAGGATTTGGTGATGAGAAGAAGAATGTTTCGCCGTCTTTTACACAGGCGAACAATAGCTTCGGGCGAGACGAAGAGACGGTTAAGAACGATTCGGTGAAATTTTTACTAGGAACTGTGGAATCCCATAGCTTCGATACCCAACGAAACCTAGCTATAGACTTGGCAGGCAATCGACTAAGTATCTCGATGATTAGATCGAACGGGATTGATTATAGGTTTGCGATTTCATACCTTGAATTCGGACCAGGTCTTTTCTTGTGCTGTGTCATCATGGTCGAGAAGAAACAAAGGGTTTAATGTTGGAACAAAGACTTAAAACAAGTTGAATGCGAAATGGGCTTTTATAGAAGAACGAAGGGGCTTAGAATGGACTCCATGTTAATAATATAAAACAAATTGTATGAAAAACCATGGAATTTATCCCACATAGAAGTTGGAAACTTTTCCAGTGGTTTATATCTGATTCTTGAAGTTTTTGAAAATTTGGTGCATTTTGTCTTCCTTGAGAGGGGGTTTGGAATATGTGATTGCTTAAGTTAGTTTTGATATTTACCTATTGTATAGAAACAACGTATACTAGTTGATAGGGAAACTTCTAATGTTTCTATACATGTAGATTCAACCTTTACATAAGTCATAGTTTGAGTCAAGATACGCATTCATTCACAATCTCTTAAACCAAATTCTTTAACTCTATTGTAATGTGGTTTTGCACCTATGGATAACGACTAACATGGACCTCATCATCAAAGACACAATTTGAAAAATGAAATGGCTCATGACAAGAAGAGTTTAAATTGGCTCATAATTGTGTATGAACCACTAAGAAAACATGAACCATTACATTAAACCAAGAAAAGAAGAATCAAATAAGATATAAGTACTGTGTTAAGAGCTAGCCCATGATCCTAGTTAAGCTTCAAATCCTCTACATGGTGTGTAAGCTTTACAAGACTTATAGGCTTCCATTCCTTGGATTTCAACTCTAGTGGCAGTGTTCCTCACGGGATTGTAGTAGAGAAGGTAGAAAGAGTCGGTAATAATGTCCGGGGACAACACAATTTCACCTGTTCCAGTCGATCCAACAAAACGTAATTTAGTCTCTTCAAATATATTCTTCAATGGAGGAGGAAAATCGTAGATATAACTCGACCATTGATGTTCCACGGCGTCTTCTAAAGCCCATAGTTGAATACCGGTACATAATGCCCTTCGGTTATTAGCAATGTTAGGCTGAAGCATAGCTAGTTTACCAGAGTCGAATCAATAAAAATATTAAAGTTCTTTTGCATGCCTTGATTGTGTTTTATGCACTTGAATATCTCAAATCTAACATCGAAGCAAACTATATCAGGAAAGCCGCAACCCCTCGTCAAGACGTTTGCTAAATAGTACAAAACACCATTGATGCATATCCCATCGTATTCTGATGGTACGAGGCAATAATTATTCACAACACGTGTCACAATTGATCATTCTCCAACACAGTTTCTTCTCTTCAGTTCCTAATGTAAGAACTCAATGTTTTCGAAACATAGAGACTCCAATATTTGACTGTGTCATGCACAAGACTTTGAATTGTTTGCCCTATCGGATCGTAACCAAAATAGCTCTTGACTCCTTTGTGCTCTCAAGTGAGAGTTGTAACAAGTTGTTGTGTATTTTGTGACTAAAATCTAGGATTTCCAAAGCTAATTAGGCAC